GCCATAGTAAAACACATCATAATAAATATTTATATATATTTTGTGTGTGGCTCTGAGTTTGCCACAATTTAAAAAGAGTGCTGTTTCTTTAAAATCCCATCTGAGGCTGTCAGGCATTTCAGCTGGTCATATTGGCTGCAGACACATACACACACACACAGATGTATATGGTTAGCAGGCTAAAGCTGGTTTGAGTTAGCATGGAGCCAGCCACACTGTGTGAGAGCCTTACCCCCTGCCTACTACTGCCACCCTCCACAGTCTCTCCACTTATTTCTTTCTTTCCATCTCCCTCTTTCTTTACCCACCTATGTGTGACTGTCAGCGGGGGCTGTACTGTAGTTTACCGTCCAAACTCCCTATCTCCTGTGAAGCAGACACACACACACAGGCTTCCACAGTTGATCTGCGTGGCCCTGTGTCTCCTGATTAGTCTGCTTCATGACAAACAAGCCATCAAGAGCAGAAAGGGAGTGCAGCACAGAAGAAGGAGGAGGAGGAGGACGAGCGAGAGGGATAGTTGGGAGAAGTGAGGAGGAGGAGGAAAAGGAGGAGAGGAGCAGAGGTTTGTGGGGGGGCAAGGGGTGAGGTGAGGAGGCTGGGACCCCTGGGGACCCCTAGATCACAGCCATGCTAATGAGAAGCTGCTTTGCCAGCAGCAGAGGTGTCAGCTAACCCCTGACAGGTGCACACATGCGTACTCCCAGGGCTTGTGCAGGCGTGTGCACGTGCATCAGAGGCAGTGTGAGTGCGTGCACAGAGGTGGAGAGGAGAGGAGGGGCTGCAGGGGTGCAGGTTTGTGTCCCAGTGGCCTAGCCGGCGGGCGGCTTTGTTCTGTATGCAAATCTGTCGCTGTGGCGTTCTGTCGCCCTTGATGGAATGTTGGAGCAGTACAGCGAACGTGAACCCCAGGAATGCTGCAGTGTGTGTGTGTGTGTGTGTGTGTGAGAGACGCCGAGTATAGCACATCCTCTCTACCCCAGTTGTTTTCTTGTTAACAACCAAAAACCTGCACTGGGTTATTCTTTTTTGGGTTGTTTTACATTAAAACAACTTTGTTCTACACTTTTCATTCATGCTGTTTGGTTTGGTGCTGTCCAGAAGTTGACGGTCTGGAATTCATCGCTACTTATTTTCAGTTATGATTGTATTTCCCTGAGCTTTCTGAGAGTTAATTTGGCATCAGCGAGGATTCATTATCATCCACTCGCTGTTCTCACTCAGCAGAGAGGCTCCTGTTTGCCCCTCTCGTTGAAGGCTGAGCCTGTGGAATTCTGTTATCCTTCTGTGGTCTTATTATAAGTCCGTGTGGATTAGCACACCCGATAGAGGCCTCATAATGTAAGTGTAATGGAGGAAGCCCATGCTTTGAAATATAAATCAGACAAGCCGGAGAGATGGAATATGTGAATTAAACACAACTCCATATGTCTCCGCCATACACCTGGTGTCTACGTCAACCCTTACCAGCCAACTACACTGGCCATATGCAAGCAGTCAATGTCATGGCTCCCCTTCCTTCACTGGCATTTTGTTTGTACTTTTTAAGGCAAAATAATGGCTATAAAAGGCAATCTGGAAAGAATAAAATCTGATGTAAAGCTCAGATCTTAGTCCCCGAAGTCTGGGTTAATTGGCCTGGTGGTTTAGTAAAAAAAAAAAAAAACAACCCAGGAGAGAAGGAGAGCATTATTACTGGCCCACCTCAGCTCCACGCATGTGCCAATGTTTTAATAACTTCCTCCAGGCCTCCTGGCCCTTAGCCCTTGTTTTGTTGCACAGGACAAAGAGTTGCCCTCCTAAGCTGGTCTCAGTTCTGTATTGTGTTCCTCTCTTTCATGGGAAAAGTCTGCTGGAGTGAACACCTGGGCTGGGAATCTTTTCGAGGTGAATCCCATTACACTAGAACATTTACAAACCACACTATTGCTAGCAAAATGAAGAAGAAAAAAACAGCAAAATGCACTGTACCACATTACCGAATCCTGCTGTGACTCCATTTCATTTAACCTCTCTTCTCAGTCTCATTCACACACACGCTGAATGTGTGTGTGTGTGTAAAGGCTGTGTGTGTCTGTGCGCGCATGGCGTGCTGGAGTAAATTGGGCGATTAGGTCCAGCATCAGCGATCGCGTAGAGAGCAGAATGTAACTATTCTAACTGGTAGTTGACCTTGGCGGTCAGCGGTGGAGGGGTCCCTGCCTGTGTGTCAGGCAGACGACTGTAATTACCACAAACTGAAGCATGACACGGCCCACCGTGATTCTTTAATGAAGGCTTTTATTGGCCGGAGCACTGTCGAGCGACGCTCTCTCAGCATGTGTGGAAGTCTTTATATAAGAGGAAAGAATGGAGAGAGGATGTCTGTAACATAACTTATTTGTGCAGCTGTGTGTGTCATGGCTCGTAGTCGGCGAGCAACAAGAAGGTAGTGCCCTGTGATGTTACTCATAAGGGAGGCTGCAGGCTTTGTTTTACCGCTCTCGTCCCTTTGGTGATTCCTAGATGTACCAACACTGGCATTGGTATCAGATTGATACTAGAATGATAGGATTGATACTTTGTTTCTATCCTGTGAGTTCACTGAATTGTGTTAGATTGTGTTATTCACCTCATACACTACAAAAGATGTCTGATGTTTCTTTTTGCTGTCTTTCAAGTTTATTTTATTTATAGTTTATGGCATGTTTAGCCACAGTCCTTTAGAGACAGGCTCCCAAAAAAACGCAGTTTCAAAATATATGAAAAGCTGTGTTTTGTTGTGTTAATTAATTATGATTAAAGTAAAAATCGTTAAAATGAGTTCAGAACTCGCAAATCATTGATTCATCTCATAAGTCATGACACACTGATCTCCATTACATAAGCTGGCTTTATGGGTTAAAAGTAACAGTATTGGTATCGATATCGACAACACCGGTGCCGTATTTACTTGATACCAAAATTGGCAGCACAGCACTTGCTTTCTATTCTTTCCCCCTGTCTCGGTTTCCCCCCTCCCCCACCCGGCTTGCTTCCTTCCTTGCTTGCTTGTTTGGGAAGTTGATGAAATTTGTCTTTGGCCGTCATTAGGCAGCAGCCATCAGCTGCCACTCTATTAGCTGCCACGCTTCCTTTAACAGCATATGGCACGGCTGTGTAAGATATGACAAGATGCAAATGTGTTGTTGTAGCGGTGGGGGGCTGGAAGGTTGTGGGACTGGTGTTGTTTGATTGGATAACTTGTACTGATGAGGCCTTGTGCGCTGACAAAAATGTAGACAAAACTGGAAAAAAAGAAATCACCAGTCCTTCTCTTAAACTCACATTTTCATCTAATATTGATCCTTGTGCATTGATGAGATTATTCAGTCTATACACCTAACTTGCTCCCTGGGGACATGTAAGCAGCCCCCGTGTGTGCGTATGTGTGCTGTCTGTGTGTATGCGTACGTGCACGCGTGTTTAGCCAAGCACGTCTGGCCCTTAAAGTCCCTCCACCTCTCTTCTTACCCCCTCTCCTCCTCCTCCTTTCCCCTTCCCTCTCTCGCTCTCTTCTCCCCGTCCAAGCTGTTAAGCTGTCCAGCTCTCTGCTGCCAAGCGGCCGTGTGAAGCTTAGCCAAACTAAACACGGGCAGGCAGCCCGCCACTCGCCCCACACATACACACAGGCGTACGCAAAAAAATACATCCACATACATGTCCGCACACACGTTCACAAACACACGCTCGCGCATACGCATTAAGTAGCGGGAGTCAGGTCGTGTCCCACCCCACACAAATAGCGAGAGCGATGGCTACACCAGAGCACCACTAATAGCAGAGAAAAACAGACAGAATCAGTAAATGAGCCCCTCATTAACTCTTTCTGACCCTCTCTCCCCTGGGGAAAGCCAAACCAATCACACCGCCAAATCAGCTTCCTGTACTAGACACTGATCCAACATCAGCTTTCGCTCATCTGTTCTCCACAGCGCGAGTGTATGTGTGAATCTGTGCGAGTGTGCACAGAGGTGTAGAGAGAAGGGAGACGACGAGTGAAAAAGGAAATGGGAAAAAGGGGAAATGTGTGTTTTTTATTCGTCAGCCAATGGTTCAGGACTGCTTTCTTGATCACACAAAACTTTGAGCGCTACTAACTTTCCCGTCTTTGTTTTGTCCCTGGCGGGCTTCAAACTTTGGGACCACCGTACCAACTCGACTGCGCTCGCGGTAGCCACTGATGATAAAGTAGATGCAGATGGTTTGTGAGCAAACACGAGAAATGTGGAAATGCCTCTCCAGCACGAGCCTGTGTTGAATTAGATGAATCTCTACGAAGGCCCTTTTTATGAGTCACAAGCAGGCTGACAGGGCCACGCCACAGTGACTGATAGATTCATTTGGCATTATTAAGTCTCAACATTTAAAGGGCCAATTTGTCAGTGTGTGGCATATAGCTCTGTGCGTGTGTTTGCATGCGGAGTCACAACAGATCACTTTACTGCTGTTATTACATCCGTGACGTAGAGCTTTATTTAATGTGGATACAGTGTCGGCTCTTGCTGTTTACACGTCGTCTCGCTCTTCCTTCCTTCCTTTTGAGTGGCTTTCTTTCTCTAGTTCCACATCTCACCTCCCTTCCCCAGCTGCCGCCCCCACCTCCCTTCTTCCCCCTTTTCCACTGCTGCCTACCCTTTCTTCATATGGAAATGACAAAGTAGACGAGATGGATCTGTATATTAAAGCCAAGCTGACATTAGAATTAGCATAATATGCTATGGCCTAAGGGCAATACCTGCCACCTACACTAGCCTGTAGACACATGCCCTGACTGCACATGTATTTCATACACTACACACACAGAGACAACACAAAAGCCCACAGAAGACACTCACACTCACACACCGAAAAACAATGCGCAGTTCATTTGCTTGTGTTTAATAAAATATTATGGGTTGGTTTAGTTGTCGAAGGAAAAAAAAGATTGAGTTTCTTGTTTCATCACTGATGGTGATTTTCTTTCCTCTCTTGGTCCACAGAAAAAGATGAGCCATCCAGCTACATCTGTACTACGTGTAAGCAGACCTTCACCAGTGCCTGGTTTCTGCTTCAGCACGCCCAGCACACCCATGGCATCCGCATCTACCTGGACAACCACCCAGTCAACTGCTCCCTCACTCCCCGCATGGCTCTTCCTCCACCCCCAGGAGCTGACGCCTTGCCCCGTTCCCCTCTCCCCACTTTCCTTGGTGATGCCAGCAACCCATTCCACCTCCTCCGCATGGCTGGACCCCAGCTCAGGGATCACCCCCATCCTCCGGGTTACATGGAGACGCGGCTGCCCGCGACACCGCCCTTTGTCAGCCCACCGCCTCCCCCAAGACCACCTCGTGAGCGGCTGGGCCCAGAGGAAATGGGGCTGCTGTCACAGCACCCCAGTGCCTTCGAGAGGGTGATGCGAATGACCCCCATGGAGCCCCCGCCCATGGACTTCTCCCGTCGGCTGAGGGAACTGGCAGGCAACACAACCAACAACGGTGGACCCACGCCTCCTCTCTCACCCAACCGTGTGCCACCCATGCATCGCCTCCTGAGTCCCACGCTTTTCCAGCCCGGATCCCAGCTCTCGCCGTTTCTTACCTATCCCCCTCAGCCACCCACCTCTCAGGGGGGACACGGCTCTTCGAGCCCTCCTGACACACAGGGTCAGAACCAGGCCCCGGGGAAATCGAAATCCTGCGAGTTCTGTGGCAAGATTTTCAAGTTCCAGAGCAACCTGATCGTCCACAGACGCAGTCACACAGGTGAGAGGCCGTACAAGTGTCATCTATGTGATCACGCCTGCTCTCAGGCCAGCAAGCTTAAAAGGCACATGAAGACACATATGCACAACAAGTCTGGGGCCATAACCGGCTCACCAGAACAGGGAAATAGAGGGGAGGGGGGAGAGGGTGAAGAGAAGAATAGGGAGGGAGATGCAAGAGGAATGGGGATGGACAATGAGGAGGAGGAGGAAGAAGAGGAAGAAGAAGAGGAGGAGGAAGAGGAAGAGGAGGAAGAACTGCAAAATGGCAGTCGGCCAGATTCCAACTTAAGCGAGGACTCCCAAGAGTTCACCCAGAACAGAGAAAATGGCTCGAGACAGTCTCCCAGTGAGAAGCCCCCGAGTGGGGATAGAGTAAACGACAGTGGCGGGGTGGGCATCATGCACCCCTACAACCATCTGGACAATCACCTTAGACTTAACCCTAACAAGCGAAGCTTGGAGAGACAACCTAACGGCGACGGCGGAGAGGGGGTTGAAGGAGAACGAGAACGAGAAAATGAGAGGGAACCTGACAGACAGCGAGAGGAGCAGGAGGACCAGAGGCCTGTGATGAATGGCAGAATCAGCGTATCTGAAGCAGAGTGCTTTCCCGGGCTGTTCCAGAGGCGGCCCACCCCCATCACCAGCCCGAGCCCCTCCAACAACAAGAGGATCAAGATCGAGAAAGAACAGCTGGAGATTCCCCCGACCATACCTCTCATTTCCCCGGAAAACGTCTACTCTCAGCTGCTGGCTGGCTACGCTGCTTCGCGCCACTTCATCAGAGAACCTTTCTTGGGATTCACTGACTCCCGTCAGTCGCCGTTTGCCACCTCCTCGGAGCACTCCTCTTCAGAAACGGGAAGCCTCCGTTTCTCCACCCCACCTGGGGAGCTAATGGAAGGCGGGAGTGCCTCAGGGCGCAGTGGCAGCAGCACCCCACACCTCCTGCGGGGACCCGGACCTGGCAGGCCTCCAAGCTCCAAAGAGAGGAGGAATGACACCTGTGAGTTCTGCGGCAAGGTGTTCAAGAACTGCAGCAACCTGACGGTGCACCGACGCAGCCACACGGGGGAACGGCCCTACAAGTGTGACCTGTGCAGCTACGCCTGCGCCCAGAGCTCCAAGCTGACGCGCCATATGAAGACCCACGGGCAATATGGAAAAGAGGTATACCGTTGCGACATCTGCCACATGCCCTTCAGTGTCTACAGCACACTGGAGAAACACATGAAGAAATGGCATGGTGAACACTTGATGGCCAGCGAGGTCAAATTGGAGCAAGCAGACAGAAGTTAAGCCAGCAACCATTAGTTACACAGCATAGAGTGTACCCAAACACACACACACACACACACACACACACACACACACACACACACACACACAAAATCCTTATAACCACTTTCTGCAATGGGGCTTGGCTGGATAATCTCTCTAGAAAATGTTTTGAGAATGATTGATGTTCATCCTTTTTTCTTTCTTCTTTCTTTTCCTCGTCACAGAAACTGCCACCTGAGAATATAAACAAAGGGAAACTTTAATGAGAACTTGCCTAGAATGCCTAACTAGGTGTTTCTTGGCAAACCGTCTGAGGATTTTATCAGTTAGGAATCCATGGAGCCTTTCTACTGTGCAATAATTTCTGTATTTATTGGATTTTTGTAATGATATTTGGCATGTGCAGGTACATCTTTGTGGGATTTCATATGGAGTTAGTTTTGAAATGTGCTTAAAAAAAATAGAATTTTCTTTACAAAAATGTGATAAAAGAAGTCACCCTTAATACAAATTTTCATTCTTTTTTCCTGTAAGGAAGCTTATTATCAAGTGAGAATAAATTTGTGTGAAGCAGATAGCTTTTAAAAGTAAGATAAATAAATAAATAATTGTTTTCTATATTAACTGCAGCAGCGGACTACAATCCATTCCCTTCGTACAGGCTCAAAGCACTGAATGTCAGCCTGACAATAAAACAATATGGCGGATTTTTAAAAAAATCCAGCATTACCTTAGAGATCTGGTGAGTTCCTATTAATTTATTCAGGGAATTATTATTATTTTTTGTCCTTTTCAACATTGGCATGTGAATAATTTGAAAATGCAGTTACTGTATTGCTGTCCTTGCTTCACAAAGGACATAAATAAAGGTTGCACTTGATGGAGAAACCCTTAACTGATGCTCAGTACATTCCCAGTGTAGGTTAAAACCACCATATTTAATATGTTGAATAAATTGAGACTACTTGTGATTAATGTGAGAAGGAGAACAGTCCTGTTTATGGTTTGTAAATATATTATTTTTTTTTTATATATGTAAAAGTAGCCCTGACTGACCATGAAATATGGCCGAGACTAAACAATCAGAAGACCAGCTGCTTGCGTCATCCACAGTATATGCTAAATGTAACTACCATACATTATTGCTTTATCAGACTGTCCGAGTACCCACGACCCCACCTGATGTGTGCTTTACTTAAAGGTAATTTGTTAATCCAAACCTGCTTCAACACTCTCTAAATCGTTCTCCATCTCCCGCTCATGTCTGGCACGGCGACTCTCTCTGACCCAGGTCGACTTCCTGTGTTCCCCTCACGGCGCACAAAATGGTTTCAGATGAAATTCATATCAGTCCGTGTTGGGCGTGCGTTCTCCTCTCGGCGGCGCGCTCTAAGCCCTTCTCTGTGACGGCGTCTTTTCACAGTTCACTAGCTCAGATTCGTGTATTAGCGCTGCTTTTAAAGGGAAGCCTGTTCATTCGCCTCACAAAGTGATACGGGTTTAACTGTCAGTAACAGATTTTGAGACAGTGTGCGAGTTCGTGTCTTCTGGGGATTGGAGTTTTTATTTTCTGCATCGTTCATTCTGAAATGAATCTGTAATATATATATATATATAAAGAGAGGCTGAATGAGTTATGATAATTTTGAGCACAGCTGCACTAAGGGATGGCCGGCCGACCTTGAGTAGGGGGCTATTCTCAGAGCATAAAATGAAAGATTGGAACTGAGAAATGGAGATGCGAGAGAAAGAAATGGAGGGAGAGAGAGCAAGACCTTGACCAGGGAGAATAGTCATTCAAATGAAATTGGGAGCATATGAAAAGTGTATTTTTTTTTCTGTAACCAAATGCACATCTACTCGCCACATCTTATAACAGACCATCAGAGTGAGACAGAGTGAGCGTGAGAGGGGAGGGAGACAGCAAAGCCACATGAAAGGAGATTGAGAATACATCTTTCATTTTACTACTGCAAATCTCAATCATCAAAAGCATTGTCACTTGAAGATTTGACCTCCCATTTTGGCCTATTTTCAGATTTTATCTGTGCCATTTAGTTTTTTAAAGAAACTGAACTACGCGGTACCTTGAATTCAAAGCGCTCTTTGTTTCTTTTAATGATTTTCGAAAAGGAACAAGCTGTCGAGCTCTTCATAAGCTATCCACTTACCTGCTAGTTTGACATATTTTATCAAATCGACTTGAAAAGCGAGACTGCCTGAAGAGCTACTTTCAGTTTGCTTACACGTGTTGACGCACGACTGCAAAAGAATCAAGGTTCTGTCGAGAACGCGCACGTTCCCCCGAAAGCCCAGTTTCAGACTTAGGCCAAAGTGAGTGGTGCAACTGGAAGAGTGGAGCCCTCACAGTGTCCCAAACACACACACACACACATGGACATTCAGTCTTACAATATGTTTACAGTGTTGAAGTATGCCATTAATGAAATACTCTGTGTAAGTGTTTAAAAATGATAATAAACTATTGTTTTCCTCCAATGTTTTCTCAAATGATTTGAATGCCATAGCAGTTTTTGTATGATTGTCCTGGTGGAGGGATTTTATCTACATGAATATATTTCTGTATGATTGCTTGTTCACTCTATGAACAGATTTTTTGGTTTGTTTTTTAATGTAATATTGCAGAATCATGCCAGGTTATCATTTTTTTTCTAACAGTGGTGCCATTATTGACTTTTGGTATCTTCATCTTTTTAAGTATTTTTTTTTTCACTTTTCTTTTTTTTAAAATGAATTTGCTGTTTTTAGGTGAAGCTATGCTCCACGGGTGTAAAATAAAATGATTTTCAAAAATGAGAAAAACGAATACAGTGGTTTTGTGCAGGAATACTTTTATCGAATCATTTTATCAGACATTCATGGACTCCTTCTTCTTCTTCTTCTTTTTTTTGGTGTTTATCCTCATGGTTGGTTGAAGGTCTTGTGCTAGCACATTAAAATGTAATTTTAAATACATTTTCATATTTCACTTTTCACAACTTTCACTTACACTCTTTGTACAAAATAGTTTCCTTGTTCTCTTTTTTTGGGGCGAGGGTGGGGGGAGGGGGGGTGCATCCTTGTGAAAAAATAAGTGATTTCAGAACAGTACACATCTGCTGTTTTGAACATATATGTATTTTTGTAATGTGTTGAAAAATCAATACAAGAAAGCCAACACTTCAATAAATGTTGCAATTGCTCTATGATTGAAACAATTTTCCTCTCTGATTATTTCTTCTTCCTTTGACTCGGACGCGGCCGTGGAACAGCTACTGTGCGCGACTTTTAATTTCAGTGCACGTCTAAAATGTGAATAGTCATCCGTTTTCGGAACTGCGGCAGGCATCTCTGTAAGGCATTAAGAAAAAGTTATTTTTTAAATCATTTCGCTGGGCCGACACACACGAGAAACTGACTTCTGCATACACTTATGTACAAACCAACAGAAACAGCTGCTCATAATTTAGTATAACCTCATAATCTGATGTTGGTTCCAAGTGTGCTGCTGATCTGCAGATTGCAACATGAATGAAAACTATACAAAGCACACGCCAGCCAAACAGAAACCCAATTACTCTTACCTTTAATCTAAATGTTTATAGAAAGGAAGGTTTGATTCCACGGTCCAAAAACATGCACGATGGGTTAATCTGTGTCTTTAAAGTTGCTGTTTGTATATGAATGGTTGGACTTGATTGGACCTGTGCAGAGTGTGCAGCTGTGATAGGCTCCAGCCACCATTATGGCCCTGCATGGACTGATGAGCCAAAACATTATTCCTACTCCTCAGTGAATCTTTGCTTATCCTTATATGCTTTATTGCATTTTGTCCAAAAAAACAAAAAAAACACACCAAACTCTGGCCACCGATTACGGATATTACTGATGTGGTAAACTGTTAAAGCAAGGAGTCATGTCTTATGATCATATTTAAGTATGAAGTGAAACTGCTGGAACAGAAGACAAAAAAAGAAGGCCAGATCAGATAATCCATTCTGACTCACAACAACAGAAGACAAAAGCATATTCAAAAGGGTTATGACACTGTGCATGGCGAGCTGGACTACTGCGCTGCTGGATTTGTCAAATTCTTTGTGAGATACTATAAGTGCATAATTAAGCATTTCTCTGATGCTGTCCAGTTATAAGTTATGTTTCCTGTGCTTACAGTGGAAGAAAGAAATCTCCTACTAAATCAGTCATGTTCAATCTCGAGATTTATATAGCACCAAATCACAACAACAGTCACCTCAAGGTGGGGTAGATTGTAATGTAAAAACCCAACAATAATAGCGAGAAAACCCCAACTATCAGATGACCCCCTATGAACAAGCACTTGGCAACAGTGGGAAAGAAAAACTCCCTTTTGACAGGAAGAAACCATGCACAGGGAGGGGCAACCATCTGCCACGACTGATAAAATTGAATTGAATTGAAATTGAATGTCCTGCTGACTGAACTGCAGTCTCAGCTGGATCTCTCCAAGTTGATATCTTTATGGTTGAAATTCAAGAAATACCTATCATGCTGTCAGTGAGAAATCTCGCTGCCTCGCAGACATTTGGCCGAAGGCTGGGGCAAGACAAGACACAGATGGATGGTAAGTACAGAATCTTGATTAGAATCTGATAAACCATATTTCACAGCGCGCTAGCACAACAGCTCACGGGTAAACAAAACACCTTACATGGAACCTCAGCGATAACTGCTAGTAGAACTCCTTTGTTCTTATTGAGAGTAATGCTATGAATGTGACTCATAGGTTTTTATTTCTGAAGATGGCTGTTGACGGTCTCACGCTTCATAAATGAGTCTTGGCATGAGTGCAGGGACCCATCAGGTATTTCTTGATATGAGGCCAACAGCAGTCAAGTCTGTCCTCACTTGAGCCTCCAGGCCATTGGATAGCATAACAGAAATAGTGCGTGTGCAGGACGCGCGTGCTCAAAGAGAAAGTTCGAGAAGGGAGAAGAGAAACGCCACAATAGGGCGGAGGTGGTGGAGTAACGTAAGGAAAAGAGGCGCGCGCTGGGTGGGTTTGTGTGAGAAAGTCGAATCAGGAGGAGCTCTCGGCGCAAAGGCCGAAACAAAATGTCCCAAAGTTGCGAGCGATTCGGTGTGTAAAATGTGATTATTACTGTAAAATATTCTCTGGATTGCCAGATAAGAAGCTACAAATACTCAGATGATGGATTTGGTGCTTGAAGAAATCTGACTGTGATTCTGCTGACTCTGTGTGTGTGTTTGTGCCTGAAGGCTGACATCTGGGTACCATGTTGATGATTCTGGTCAGCAGAAATGTGCATGTTGAGAAGATGTCACATTCCCACAGCTCTTATCCTAGCAATGGCATAACTATTGACATAACAATTGGAACAGTGTGACTGTGCGGATTGTTTGTGGCTGCAGATGTTTTTAATGACAGAAATAAAATACAAATAGATTGATCAAAGTTAATATTTGCTCAGACTATTTCTCACCAACTACACGGCGGACGCGCTTTCTATGGTTTTCCTAAACATTTTCTTTTCAGATGGACAAGTTTGAATACAAAGCTGTGAGTTTCCACTTGCAAAACTGTAAATCACGTTACAACCCTAAACATCTTATTATACAGCTTATTTTGGTGCAACCTTGTGCCCATATTGAACTGTCTCTTTTTTCAAAAGGGCTGCTCTCCATGTAATCAGAGACATCCCAGCCACTTCTCTGACACCGGCTCATAGTACACATGTCACACGAGTTTAAAAAGCTCTCTTTTAAGCTCGTGCAGAAGAAGCCCAGCTTCGTGGGGGAAATGTGGCCACAAGCACCGCTAGTGAGGTGGCGTTGTATCCTCTTCGCTAGAAAGCGCTGGGCAGAGGCCTGCAGTCACAGACAGTCTGTCGCGGAGCAGTTGATGGGAAATCACGATTTGGAGTAAAACCGCGTCCTCGGAGAACAGGGTGTCAGCAGGGATTGTGGTTCGTGTCCTGGGCCCCACAGAACCACGGGGTCACCGCAGAGACCCCGCTTTCCAGTGGATGACAGGGCTCAGGCCCCACTGGCCTCTCTGTAGATATCCAGTTAGTAATCTGCCAGCCCTGACCAGGACCCAGTCAAATGACGCTGCCCGCCCAAAGAGCAGACGGCGCTTCTCCCTGCGACATGCCGACCAGAGTAAATCCAGCCCAGCTGGCTGCTCTTGGGAAAAGAAGGAAAAAGGGGTGGAAAGAGGCATGGAAGTAGGGGAAGGGTGGAGGGAGGACTGGATAGAGAGAAGAGCAATTTAGAAGGGTGGTCAGAAGACAGAAAGCAGTGTGGTCGATGGTGGTCATTCAACAGCTGTGGCTGGGGACGATTCTCTCTTCTGGGAGAATCTGACCCAGAGGAACAAAGGCTTTGTGGTTGTGTTGAGTGTTTAACTAGAGGACAGGAAATGCAGACTTTTTTTTACAGTGGGAAGAAAACTCAAAAGCCGCTCAGTGGGAGGTTTTGGTCGTTTACAGCATAACCATGTCGTCAAGCATCATAACAGCACCCACCTCAAAACAGAAATGACAACTTTCAGATGCTATAATTGCTCCAACCTATATTCAAAGGATTCCTCGGCTACAGTAAACCTGAAATCCATTGTTTGACAATTAGTCATTAGAGTTTCCGTTATTTTCACAAGCGCTCTTTTCACTTGAACAGTGATTTTTTCCCCCTTTTTGTCCTCGAGTGATTCGGGTTTTTTAAGCGCTTATACAAACTTAGTGGGTCGTGACTGCACAAGTCCTCCTAACCACTGGCCGACACCTCACCATGGAGACACAGTCAAGCAAAACGTTTATTTATCTTTACGCTCCAGCCACACCCTCGCTGTCTGCATATTAAAGTCTGCTGCTTCTCTTTCTCTTTTCATTCAGTCACTTCATCACTTGCTCATAACATCGCTTCTTTCATTCTCGGCTCTTTGTTTTCTGTTTCCTCTCCTTCCTGTCCTTCAGCTAGATTAACCTCTTCTCGATCATTTTTTCCCTCATACGTCGAGTTCTCCCTCTCCTTCTTCCTTCTTCCTTCTTTCTATTTCTTAGATAAACTCTTCCTCCTCTCTACTCCCCTCTGTCCCACTGTCAGTGTAATTCCACTGGTGTCAGACCTCCCAGGTAGGCTCCTACACAGGTAGATAGCTGCTGTGGTGGGGAAGCTTCTGTGCTGTCGGCTTCCTGACGCCTGACCTGCCCCCCCCTCCCTCAAACACACACACCCCCTCACACTCATACACATGCACACCTTGCCTCAGGGGGGTCAGTGTCATTGTTGACATTGGACACATGCTCGTTGTGGTGCAATATTAAATCTTCTCATTTGATTTGGACTGTAATTATGTCGTAAAAACAAACTGGCTGTGAAGCCATGGCCCGCCAGTGTGATCTACTTTCATCAAGTGCAGACTGGCTTAATTACAGAGTGCGCCATACACCCATCTTTCACTGGGCAGCTTTTCCTGCAGCTTCTTTAAGCCATCACATTCTTTTATTGTGCGTTAATCACAAGGCAATTTGGCCGTTTGCAATGGCTGAGGGTAGATTTTAACACTGGTCTGTACACATCCTGTGGATTCTGGGGGAAAAAAAGTCAAGAGTTAAGCAGATGTACATGGTAATGGAATACGATGCCTCTTCTATTTCTGCGGTGCACTTAATGATATGGTTTTCATCCCACAAAGGTATTCAAATTCTCTGGTGAGAATAAAGGGGCTTTTTTTCCTGGTCTTTGTACACTTCAAATTGACTGTGTGAAGTCAGACAGATAAGTAAACTTAACAATAAATGACCAAATCTCATCAAAAGAAATCACACTGATGTGTGAACGCCTTTAAATAAACCGTGGCTCTTTTATCTCGTGCATTATCTTAGGACGGAGCCATAAAACACACAAAATAACACACGTGTATTATCTATGAATTTTATGGGCAAATTATTTCCACATAGGGCTTCAGCTCTTTATCTGGTCTTTACAGCCACACAACTGAAATACATGTTTGTTTAGGCCCACATTTGCCAAATGGTTAAGTCGAACCAGATTTCACCTTCACATCAATGCACACAGCAGGATGCCAGATGCCCAATCACAGCATATGGTAACAAAGTGTGAATTTTTGGGGGGGTTGTAATTCATGGAGTATATTTTGAAGCAATGCTCATGCTCTGATACAACAAATATTCCAGCCAAATAAATACACTGGCTGCTTGCGGAGTCTGTCAGAAACAACAGGAGTGTTTCCAGTTAAGAGGACAAAGTGGACATCAGAGCCTGCGAAACCTCCACGCACCACTTTCAACCAGGAGAAATGTGGTTTGAGTCTCTTGTGAGACCATTTGTTTGGTTTTCACTCACAGTTTGCTCAAATTTAAGCACCAAAACTCTTCGACCCCCTGAGGTCAGTTAATCTTAAAATGTAACCATAGGTTACAACAAACTGCCTCCACACACAACCTGCACATTTGTTGATTTACAGGGGAGGAGTTTGAGCAGCGTAAGAGACGTAAAATGCAACAAGTCCAGTGTAAGCGACTGGCATGGCTGTGTTTGGCTCTACACAGATGCACACATGGCTTTGCAGATATTCGTCTAGACACGAGTGTTACAACTTGTAACCAGGGTGTAAAATTCACAAATGTACGGCAGCCCCGAGAGAGAAAAAACAAAACTTACTGCAAGTTAAGAAAACAAGAGGAAATAGAAACATGTTGGAAAAAACATGCAAATGATCACAGCTGGTCCGTTGCATTATTGTCTCCAAAAAAATCTTGTGTTACATTTTGTGTGCTTTTGCAGGATTTTTCTATTTGCTCTTGTTTTCATTTAGTTGCAGTGCCTTTCGGGTCACCATGCACGTGCTCAAATTTGATCTCAGTAATGTGTGTATGAAAACCTATAAATAAAGCACCTTAAAATTCTTCCTTATGTTTTCATTTACGGTGGCACAGTTGGTAGGACTGTTGCCTCACAGCATGAAGGTCCTGGCTTTGAATCCACCATCTGGGCGCAGACTTCCTGTGTAGAGTTTCCATGTTCTTGCCGTGTCAGTGTGGATTCTCTTTGGGTTCTCTGGCTCCCTTCCACAGTATAATGCAGGCGTTTAGTGGGTTTACGTTACCTGGAGATTCTAGGTGTGAATGGTTGTCGGTCTCTCTGCGTTAGCCCTGTGACAGACTGGCCACCTGTCCAGTGTGTACCCCACCTCTTGCCCCGTGGTAGTTGGGATGGGTTTCAGTCCGATCCTGGATTGGATAATTGGAAGAGAAGGGATGGATAGATCACTCAGTTAAAAGAGGTATCCTACAGTGGACTGTATAAATGTACACATTTAATGGATTTACTAATCAGATGATGAACAGCCTCAGATGTCTTAAAAATAAGTAAGTATTTAAACAATAAGTTTATTGTTCACAGTGTGGCAGGCCATATGACTTGTCAATATGAAGGCTGTGAAACTGATAATGTAGGGTTCATGTTCCACTCTTCAAGATTTACAACACAGCATTTCCTGGTGTAAAATACAATGAAGTCAAAACATTGTACCCACCGTCTCTGCAAAGCCACTCAGTGGGCTGGTTTGGACCCACTGACAAACTGGCTCTGGTCCCAATTTAAGTCATGAAACCATCACTCAGAAAAATAATACACCAATACAGCAAATACATGCTACAGTCATGTCAGTGGGTACTGATAAGCCATAGAATATGGACACGGCAGGGTTCATGTTAGCGATGAGTGAGGGAGGGAGGGATAAAGGATGGATCTGTCTGGGGACTCACCCTTTTATGTCTTAATAGATGAAAAAGAAAGACTGAAAGCTGAAGGGTCACAAAGGGAAAATCCCCTTGTTTTTGTCCCTCTCTGCCGGCCTTTTAAGATGGGTTCATCAGCGTTGTGACAGGTATGTGAAGTGGACATCTTACTAGAGGTAATTGCCATTTCTCTCCTGTGGGTCATTGTTTGTCCCTACGCCCAACAAGACCATTACAGAAAGAGGATTTTAGATTGTTACCGCAGCAGAGCTTCGGATCAAGGCTCTGCAATTCTGTCGTTCTCTCGTGAATAAGAACCACAAAGATAAAAAAGTCAAAATCTTCCAAGCAGATCCATTAGCAATGTGCTGCGCTGTACATAAACACAGTAAACACTCCCCACTGATGCGGTTCTTAGAACAGACTGCTGTGGCTTCACTGCAGAAACTATTACGGTGCCACCGAGGAGTCATAAAGGTGATTAACAGCCGCCTCTAATTAAAGATCAATGGAGAGTCTTTCCGAGCCGATTTGTTATGTGAATTAGAATGGTGTCCATTAATGTTGTCAGGCAATATCACTGTAAGACTGGGTATTGATGTGCCCTTGCTTGAGAAATAGCACAGTCTAAACTGTAGCTCATGACATTAGGATTTGCTCATTAATGTCCTTTATTCGTAGCACGGCGAACTGCGAGCAGCCTCCTAGATGAGTTTACAAATGCATGGGATACGAGTCATCAGAAGACTGATAAGCAGCATACATCTTTCTGCTAGGTTTGAGGTAGTTGTATGCAGTCGCATTGAAGTTTATAAGCTAATCTGGTGTGGGCTGAAGTGCACCATTAAGTGCACATAATGCACAATTCTAATAAATCTGCTTGTTCAAGCTCAAAAGCTTTGAACCATCGGTTCAAGTGTTATGAGCATCTAATTCTAGGGGTGTTGTAGAAAATGATTAGACGAGATGCTTTTAGCATTTGCCCCATTAAACAGCTTCCGTCATTATTGGATATGTGAATCCCCAATGGCCTTTACATGTTTCTGCTGAAATTTGTGAGTGGACTACAAACCATAAATTTAGAAATCTTAAGTGTCATTTTAAGTAATGTCTTTTGCCATGTCAACTCATTTAGATGAGTGTACTGAAAGAGGGTGAAAAAAAAAAAAAGAACCCATAGAGAGCACAGTATTAGTGAATCAGATCTTTATTGGGCGACATTAAAGTTGGCCTTCAGAGTGTCCGCAGGGCTGCAGCCGCCTGCTAAGATGTACAGGCACGGCCGCTCAAATCAACCTAGCTGTGAGGGGGAACCCTCCACCGCGAGGCCTGGTGTCGTCCAGTCACGTCACAAGCTAGTGTAGCCAGCTACTGTTGCACAGACTGGCTTGGCTGCGTAAGGTCATCAGGATCAGAGCCAGCAGGTTGGCCCTTAATGTAGTGCGTATCATGCGTTTGCTCACCCCCCTGCTCAAAACTGGAGCTGTAGTGAGTGACTGTGCCTGGGGGGATACTTGCCAGTAAGCAACATGTAGCCCAAAAAAGGGTTTTCAGACCAAAACCCATCAAGGTCTGATGACAGAGGGTCACTGAAGTCCTCATTGAAACTTTCAGCATCAGGATAAGACTCAAAGCCTTGCATTTTAGTTTCAGATTCTGAGTTGCCATGCTCAAAGGCCCTCTCCACACGAGACAGTTCGCCTTTCTGGAACACAGGGGGAAGAGGGTCTGGTGCTCCCACATAGAAGAGTGGAAATTTGTCAGATTGAGGGCTGGGAGGCATAACTGCCCAGCTGAAGTCTGAGCACAAAAGTTAAAGAGGGATGTTGAGTATTATGGCAAGCTTGTATTAAGAGTTTATTTCTACATGTCTGTACTACTTACCGTGATTTAAGCCCAGCTGAAAACTCGGTTGTGTCGAGTCTGCGTGGGAGTCACGTGGGTGTCCCAAGTATGCAGACGCAGGATAAGCATCAGAGCTGTAAGAGGTGCCTGCTGATCCACTCGCAGCACTACTTTCAGGGTGACCTGAATTTGGGACAACCCAAGAATCAGATGACACGGGCACAAACACAGCCGAAGGTACTTCCCAATCAGAATCAGCAGGAGATTTAAAGTAACCACTGCTGGAGGAGACGTCCGTACCTGCACAGCAAGAGAAGTCATTAGTACAACTTTAAAGCAGACTTTTAACATTAGAATTAGAAATGCTGAGACTTGTTGAATTTTACCTCTCTTCACAGAGTAGCTGTAACTATCTCCACTCAGCATGACAAGCAACAAAGCCCTGTCGACATAGAAAAAATATTAACTACAGCAACTTGGCAACAACTAAGACCCCTCAGAAAATATAACCACTCACTTACCCTAAGGAAAGCCAAACACCCATCATGTTGAATGAGCTTCTTAATAGCCACTGCTGCCCTGTCAAAGCTTTATAAATGCTACAAATGACCTGCCCTGACCAATCACAGCATAACAAGTTAACCACGCACAGCTGCACAGATAAAGGCGGAGCCCTCAACCTGAAATTTAAGCTGGTCCAGTTGCAATGATTTTGTTCAGTGCTACAGTACGTGCAAAACGTTTTCTTTACATACAGTTTTGTGCCTCACTGCGTGTTGGCCCAGTGATTTTGATTGGTCACTTGTTTTATCATTGTTAACGTGCACCAGTAATTCAGCAGCATGTCCATACTGTAATGAGACGGACACCTATCTAACTGAATCCCTCAGAGTCTTGGGTTGTTAAAGATAAATAACATTTTAAAACACAAGAAAGATGTCCTATGCTGGTGGAGCTAAAGTGCCAAAAGGCCCGTCACACGGCTCCCTCGTAAAATATTAGATTTCCGAAAGATTTTTACAGCAAACAAATCATCGGCGCCAACCGAAAACTGGGGTGCAGCAATTTGTTTTCTTGTCACAAAACTTTAACTCGAAGAACATATCCTGTGGAAATTGATAAACAGCGCAACTATATGAGAAAGCTCAATGCATTTGATAGAGCACATCCCTTCATTAAGATCTTATTCCTCCATACCCAGCTTGAGACTGTGCCAAATGTGCCGCGGTTCTGCATTGTGACAATTTCCGGCTCTTCAGATGTGTATTTCCTGGCTTTCTAATCAGAATGTTATTTTGTATCTCAAAAGGGGCTCCATTCAGCCCAACATTAACAACCCTCGTCTGAGATAATGTGGATGCTTCGGGCCATAGGCCACCAGCTGCATCCACTTGTCAGTCTTTGGTACAGATGCCCTGTCTGTCTGCTGTGCGAATGAAACTCATGGACTAAATTGGCACTTATTGTGCAGAATCATTTTATGTACGCATTTTAATGTGCCTCATCCAATTCCTTAACACGGTTTAATTTTATCTGCTGACAGCTATCTCGGATTTTAAACTGATTTAAATAGAAGGCTCCTGTCCCGCTTGTAATTTGTGTCTTTGAGTGGCCAGTGGAGGCCACGTAGAAACGTTATGGATCTTTGGATTAAGCTCAAATACTCTCAGGCAATTTAGTCAAATCTGCTGTATTTTCTGTGCATCATATTAGTTTCTCATACAAATCAAATGAAGAGAACTCAATTATGATGGATCAATAATTCAGCATTCTCAATTATGCTTTAATTGTAAGAAGCAATATCATCCAATCTTATTGTGTGGATAGGTGTTGTTGCTCTGCAGAGCTTTAGCTGATTGTTTGTATGAGATTAGGGCTGTGTATCAAGGAAAAGATCAGGCAATGTCACAGAGCCTTAGATAGCCGGCAAGTGATGCGCATAGACACACTCCCGCAGACACTCGGATACACTCCCAAATACACACAGACTCTTAATGACATGAACACATAACATAAAGCCAAATGCTGCCACTAAAATTTGCATGGTGCTCAGTAATGCATTAGTGAACATCACTTGGCAATCTGTTCATACGGGCTTAATTGGATTTTAATACCGCCTCTGATCTTGTTTTCTAATTAACGGCGGTGGCTGGCAACCAAGCAGAACCATGCACCCAGCAACACCTTTGATCCCGGCCATATGGAGTTCCTCCAAGCACGCCGGGGATGTAAAAATCCCTCACCTAGACGTGGGCGAACAACAGGCCCCCGTATCAAAATGGATGGGGTGAGGAAAATGAAGGAGGGTGGAGAATGGAGGAGTGCGGCGAGAGGGTGCCGAGGGCGGTGGGGGCCAGCTCGGCGGCGGTGGGGGGCGGGCAGTGGCATGTGTCATCCACACATCCTGGCGGCATTGTTATTGATTAATTTCGCTCACGATCGGTTGTGATCACAGATACATAAAACATGAGAGGGGGGACTAAATGCCTGTACACCTTATCATCCCCGCTGCCATTCGACACCCCTTCCTTGCTACAGGGAAATGTCAATAGCTTTTCTAATCTGTTTACTTCTCCCCTTGTGGCCACTGCTTTATGCTTTTGATGAAGGGCTGCCAAAAATGTGTCCTTTTTTTACCCTTGCTTTTCCTGTTTTGGCAGACAAAGTGTGGGTATTAAACTTTACATCTGCGTAGTCACCTCAGCTGTCACGTCTTCTATTTTGCTATTTATCAGGAGATCACTTACAGGTCCTGTGTCGTTTTAAAAGTGCCGGACTCGTGGTTTTTCTTTACGTCATCAGCCTGACAGAACGCAGGCAAAAGCCAACCTGGATCCTTGGCAGAAAGGGGACAAAAATCCAACAAATAGCCAAAATATAAAGCACGCCACATAAACCATGTCAGAAATTGCACCACAAAAGCAGACAAGAAAGAGAGATGCCGTGATCTTGACCCTACCAGTATTATCATCTAATCACTATCATCTGTATTGCATGTTTTCTGTTAGTGTAATTGAAAGAGCATAAATTCCTTTGTGAATTCTAACGAAAAAAAGCAATTATATCCCTTGGAAACTGCTGGATATTTGACATGTGTGAAACAGTAACTGCAAGTAACATCATAACAACACTGCAGGGAAAATGAGCTTTTTCAATCATCTATTGAAGGAAAATTTCAATGTTATTCTGCAGACAGAATTAGACCCCTTCCCTCAGAAGCTAGAATTGCCTCTTTAGCAGAAATCACTCATTCCTCATCAGCTTGCTGAAAATTTTGACCACTCTTACATTCAAAATTCCTTCGGTTGTGAGATTCATGAAAGTTTTCTTGGATGTACTACCTATTTCAAATCCTCCCACAACATTATGATGGTATTAAATCTGGGCTCAGGCAATGCCATTCCATAACCTTTCATTCCTTCTTTTTGAGGTATTCTGTGGTGGATTTGCTTGTTTGCTTAGGATCGCGATCCGGTTGAAACGTCGTCTTCCATTTCAGCTTCGCTTTTCGGACAGATGGCCTCAAAGTAACTTCGAGCCCCTCTCGCATGATGCAGAAAGCGTAGCCGAATCAGTGCCTGCGTGCAGACCTGTCCTCGAGGCAGTGAAGCAACCCCAAACCAGAACATTTTTGGAGTTCAAAGACATTTTCCTGGCACATTTTCCATTTCATTTAAATTTGGGCAAACTCTTTGTGTAGACATTCAGCAGAGGTTGTCAATAGATGCACTTTGACACCAGTAGTTGCAAAAGTTACCCGCACGTCCTGGAGAGGTTTTGAGTCTGCTTTTAGGTTGAAATTACTGTGCAGGCCAGTCTTGGAATTACTGGCAGTCATTTAAAAAATCTTCACCACTTGGAGATGATTTTCCTTACCGTGGACTGATTTATTCCCAAAAAAAACCTGGAGATCTTTTAAAATCCCCTGCCAGACTCATGGGCATCCACAACCTCCCCCCACCTCCCCCCAGAAGCTTTAGAGAGCTCTTTAGATCTTGGCGTGTTGACACCACACACTTCAATAACAAAGAGAACAGCAGACCCAAGACGTCTGAGGTTGAACTAGCTCCCTAAGAAAGCTGTACCGTTGGCTCCGGAGCTGGAAACCCTGATAATTTTATGAATTTGAATGTGTGATAAAAGCAGGGGTGCTTGTGACATGTGATGTTTCGGTTTTGTCTATTCTTTCATATTATTATGAAAATAACAAAAAATGCCAACAATCTGTAATTTGTTTGAGGATCTCATCTGTAGACATGTTTGTTTCTTTTTAAAGAGATTAAGACTTTCCTGAAAAACTGACATGGGATGTACAAACATGTGTTTTTTCACATGACAGATTGGATCTTTGTAATCATTTTATCAATAGCATCTCAGTAAAACATGCGCTGCACTTTTATGTAGAGGATTTTGACTCTTGTGTGCAGGATACATATAAAGTGGGCAAATTAACTTAGCAACAGGCTACTAGCCAAGCGTATTTAATGATCACCAATATACCAAAACAGCCAAAACATTAAATACAAACCTATAACAGAATAGCCTAAATACAGTAGTACAGCTTGATAAAATGAAATAAATATCATAAAATGGAGCAAATGTCAAACATTACAAATCTAGAAAAAAGACAATAAAGGTAAACATAACATTTATACAGTTATTCATATAAAAAAATAGCAAAAAGATCCATCCATCCATTTTCTTCCTCTTATCCAATTCCGGGTCTCAGGGGGGATGGAGCCTATCCCAGTTGCCACAGGGCAAGTGGCACGATGCACCCTGGAGAGGTTCTCAGTCTGTCACACAGCTCACACAGAGAGACAGACAACCATTTACGCTCCCATTCAAACCTGCAGCCAAATTCGATTCACCGGTGTTCACCTAAATTCATGTCTTTGGACTGGTGGAAGAAGCCAGGGTACCCTGAAAAAGCCCACGCAAGCACGGACTGAGCTTACGAGCGCCACAAAGAGAGACCCCGACGGGCTGGTGGATTTCAGCTGAGGACCTTCTTGCTGTGACGCGATGGTGCTAACCACCGCGCTGCTCTAATGAAGTGACAACAAAGTCAGATAGCGCAGTAAATTCACCAAAGCAGAATGAAAGAGGCTTGCTAAATGTTGTAAAAAAAAACAACAAAACAGGCACAGCAGATGTCAGATGACGTTCAAGTGGCTTAAGAATATCAGCGTTAAGTGTTGTGACATTGCAGGGTTGAATTAAACTCTTAACATGAGAGAAGAGATGAGTCTCTGCTACACAGATGTGTTGCAATGTAAAGACCTAGAGGGCGAAGTATGGGAGATTTCCTGCATCTGTCCAATACGGCAGCAGAGCTGAATCAGTCTGTCAGGGTCAGTGCTCTGCTGACTGTCCAGTAGGTGGTGCAGGGGGTGGTCAGGATTATCCTGCACTCACTTATAATCAGCCCCATCCTGATCAGTTTATTCAGACACACTATTCACACTATACACCTTTAGGATAATTTGTCGATGTACAAGTTCATCCAGTAGGGCTACAGCTGTGATAAGACGACTGAGAAAAGTGCTCCAAAGGTGCTGCAGGTTGTATAATTG